AAAGGGGCTGAAGCGACATGAAGTGGAGAAGCGTGGCTTAAGCAAGAAAAGAGCTTGCCTCAAGCCTTGCCATGAGGTGGGGGCTTTTTTTTTGTTTTTGGTTGTGTGTGTGCTCGTGTGTATCCAAAATTATCTTTTGAGAATCTGGGCAGGTCAGCAACTGTTCTCTGTAGGTAGATCACCATATAAAGTTTGTGTTTTTGTTGGACTTTGATAATTGGGATGTTGGATTTTTATGTTTTTAATAAGGGCTAATTACACAGACTTCCCTTGATATTTTTGACAAATACACGGACCTCCCTTCTTGTTCATGAAATTACACTGACCTCCGTTGCTTTAGCTAACAACATACACAAGCCTCCCCTCGGTTAAATTGTCATCATATTTTAACATTTAAATGCTGAAATTACCCTTGCAGATCTTGTAACCAACCGAAAATGAATGGCGCTTCAACCAAACACCTACATCCCGTATTCTACCATTCCCATGGCCAAACACCTCTCTCTCTCCCCAGTGGTCATGACCTATGAAGCACGGACACCTCTCTGAGGGCTCTGTACCAGTGTCGGACACGTGTCGGACACATGGTGCACATGTGTCTGACACGCAGCAGAGAGTGTCCCCCTTTTTTTTTTAAATTTTTTTACATCCGGACACGTTCTGGACTCGTTATAGACACTTTCGGGGCACGTTCGGGGGTAATTTCACAATTTACAAAACTTTTTTGGGGGCGATTTGTAAATAAGTAAAACAGAGCAATATCTGCCCTAATTCGATTAGCACAGAATAGAAAGGGGGAACAGAAGAGAAAGGGAGAGAAAGAGAGGACCTGGTTGCTCGTTGGTCGTCGCTCTTCGTCGGTCGTCTCTTCTCGTTGGTCGTCGCTCCTCGTCGGTTGTCACTTGTGTCTCGTCGTCGGTCGTCACTCGTGTCTCATCGTCGCTCGTCGTTAAGGTACACACTGCTCTTCTCTATCTCCATCTCCATCTTCACTCGTGTCTCTTCTCTATCTCCATCTTTTCTGTTCTTCTTCTTCTTCTTCTCTTCATTTTCTTCCTCTCCTCCCTTTCGTCTCTCCCTTTTCTGACTCTCTTTCTCTCTGTCTTTTTGACTTCACTCTCTCTCTCCTCTATTGTTTCTCTTTTATATATTTTTCTTCTCTTTTTCTTGATTCAACGTTTCTCTCTTCCTCTCTTTTTTTTTTTTCTTTTTTCTTTTTTTTTATACTTATTTTTTGTTAAACTTAAAATTCATAAAATAAATTATTTTTATTTAAAAAAACTGATTTTTTATTAAATTTTTTAAAAAAATATGTTTATTAATTTTATTATTATTGTGATTGTATAAGAATTAATGATTTTAATTTTATTTTAGACATATAATAAATAAATAAAATTATATCTATTAAACGTGTCCCCAGCGTGTTATGTCTCCTATTTTTTGAAAAATTACGTGTCCGCATGTCCCTGTCGTGTCCCGTATCCGTGTCCGTGCTACATAGGTCATGACTCATGTCACCATTATCAGATTCCAGCCGAAACAAGGTATGAGATCACTACTTCAGGTAACGAAATCTGAGTAGAATAACCTAGAATTAATCAAAAAGTGAACATGAACAGTGCGGAGATTGCATCTTTCAGCCAATGTTCCAGTGGCCATGTCCATGGAATGTAGAAAAGGATGGGTTGTGAAGAATCGATGAATACACCCACCCACTTCCGTATTGTGTGTATTCGTATGTGTGTGTGTATATATATATAAGTTCATGTTGTCACTATTTGAGAAATTTATCAATTAATAGGAAAATTTATGGGAAAGGAAATGAACCATTGATACTTGCTAGGCTGGTGGAGATGTTTTTGAAAATTTGTGTGTTTGGGAGCTGGAGGAGGTTATGGTTGTGTTGTGGTTGGAGTATAAGAAGTGACCAAATGTTGGGTCTCAATTACTGTTATAGAGAGAGAGAGAGAGACACACACACACACACACACACACACACACGGAGAACATACCCACCATCATATACACATTTTGGGTCTTCATCTCTATATATATACATAACCCACCCACCATTATATATACACACCAACATCACCCATTGGTATAGGAAGTTACCCACAATGTAGACAAATTCAGCCATGGCCACTGTCAATTGTGGGTTTTCTTTGTTTGGCCTGAAGTTGGGGGACATTAATAAATGAGTAATTACAACTGAATTTCTTATAAGGGTAAAATAGTAAGTTTACCATTTTTGTTGCTTAACATCACTTGAAAATTCTGGCAACAGAGGTCAGTGTATATTCAGAAATCATAGGGGAGGCCACTGTGATTGTCAAATACCTCAGGGTAATTAACCCTTTTAATATGGTTCTTGGAAATATTGAAGTTCTTGTCCAGACTAAGGCCTCGTTTGGGAACATGCTAATTTAGTAACTTTTTGGCTATTTGGCTAAAAACGTAAGTAAAAAAAACTTGTATGTTTGGGATGACTTTTTGGCTAATTACGAAAAGATGTGCAAAAAGTAGAGAGAAAAGAGAATTTTTGACTTTTTGGTATGAGTTGTTGGCTTTTTGGCTAATTTAGTAACTTTTTGACTAATTGGCTAAAATAGCCTCTTGCCAAACGAGGCCTAATTATTTTTTAAGAAATATCTTTGCCTTGTCTCATCTTGCCTCGCCTCATCACCTCGCGCTTAGGCTGTAGGAGGTTATTTCACCTCAGTTCGTTTTTTGCCTATCAACTAGCTCCGAAAATGAATGGCGCTTAAGTGCGCGACCTATACCCCGGCCGTTCAACAAGAAAACTTTATTAGCTATGCATCGACAACCCATGGGCAAGGCAAGCCGCAAACACGCCTTGCATTGGCCACACATTCGGCTGATGAAGGTCAGACTCTGGCTTGGCTTCACTGAAGAAGCCCAAAGTCACATTCCTTGCAAGGCCATTAGCATTTTGACGACATTGGACACTGTGGATACAAAAAGTTAAAAAATTTAAAATTTAAAATTCTAATGTGAGATAATTTAGCACAATTGGCATTCATATATGATACTACAACCATCACGAGTTGCAATTCTAACATTTTTCTTTCATACAAAATTGGTTCAATGGTTAAGATTTGCCCTAATAACCTTGAGGTTATAGGTTTAAGTCTTGGGACACCACTTTGTGTATTATGCCAAAGGTTTGGTGTGAATTCATTCTTTTCCCTTCCAAACACACATTAATGTGTACTAATTGGGCTTTTTTTTTTTTTTTTTTTTTTTTTTTTACAAAAGCCAAATTCTATAAAAAAAAACAAAAGTAGACCAACTTCAATTTCAAATATAAATCAATAATGTATAAAAAATGCCATTTAAATACAAAAATTGGGATCCGAAAACTCAAAAATTTTAAAAATTGAGTATTTCTTTTTCAATTTCCATAAAAGCGGCTAATCATTACATTTTTATAACTTGAGTAATCCAAATACTCACACAAATGGCCCACAGTACCAAAATAGCCACAAATTTTCAAATCTCTGGCTTGTGCCTTCAAGATATTACTTTTGAATAAATTTGAATCAATTTAGTGTATCGGACCGAAGTATGCCATACTTGTCACAAATTGCATGATTTTTCTGTGGTTATTGCTTCTGTTGATTTACCCTAGATACATTAAAATTACTTGGTGTAGTGAACTGAATCATGTGGCAAGTATTCTGAATTGTTCGATTCGGATTAGCATCAGCATACTACTTTAAAATTAAAAAGTAACTCAAAATTAAACCTAAACATAGTTAAACATTGTCCAAGGTGTTCTCCATATGAAATCCCAAATTTGCCATTGGTCTTTTTTGCATAATTTTATTAGTTACTTATAGGAATTTGATCATATGCACATTAAACAAGAAATATTTTTTCAGATTAAGCGTCTACTTTGCTCCTTTTTCGATTTTACTCTGGGTAGCAATGGTAGTTTGTCAAAAGACTATGTTTCAGGTTTTCTGCTGTGTGGGTTCTAATATTGTATGTGTTAGTTCATTGTTTTCTTCTGACCTTCATGTATAAAGGACAGCTTTATTGATTGTTGGTCTATTAGCATGGCCTCATTGTGGTTGAACAACATAAATTGTTTTGTTCTGTTTGTATTATATTTATGCAATTTATATTCTATTGTTTTTGATGTACACACTTGCCCTGCTGTGATATAAATTGATTACACCAAATGGGACATGGTTCTTCTATAAGAATATCTATTTTATACTATATAGCTACACATACACAAGTATAGTCTCTGGTATGGAGAATGAACATCGGTCTTCTCTTAAGGAATTAGGGGCTGCTAGTTGTTGACATATTAAACCAACGAGGCTAGCCCATTTTCCAAGTCTTTTATGGCTATTTGTTGGATTTCTTTCATAGTTGAATGTCCAAATTGAGGCAAGTTCTCTTGATATTTGTAATTTACTTCCAATCAATTGACAAAAGAAAAAAGTCGTTGAGAAATTAAATTTTAATTGATAGTTCAATCACCAGAGCTACAACTAATTCTATCCCACATTACAAATAGTATTAGTAACATATCAGGGCTCAAAATACTATTTAAGAACACAAACAATCCAAATGTTTAGAAAATGCAGCAAGATATTGTGATGTTCACTAGAGTTCGTAAATATCCCCGTTGTATTCTTGTACTTCTTGTATTAATAAAGCGCCTTTCTTATGATCCTCTGGCATTATATTAGCCAGCATATAGGTGGAACTAATTATAATTAGGTATCAATAGCAACTGATTGAGCAGGAAATAAATGTTGCATAGTTTCCCCATATAGGGTGAACTATCTGATCTCCGTACAGGGGATTTTCCAAGGAGATTTTCAAATATATTTAGGTACATTTTTTTTTTTACAATTTTATGTAAGCAAAATATGTGCTTGTTTTCTCTGTTGTTTATCATCCTTTCAAAATGATTTGGATTTGGATTTCTCACAATTGAAAGTACAATGAACATTGTGCAGCTCATTCTGATACAACTGTGGCAAGGATGTTGGTTGGGAACAAATGTGATTTGGACAACATCAGGGATGTAAGTGTGGAAGAAGGCAAGAGCCTTGCAGAAGCCGAAGGATTGTTCTTTATTGAGACATCTGCCCTGGATTCCACGAACGTTAGAGGAGCTTTTGAGATTGTTATCAGGGAGATCTATAGTAATGTCAGTCGAAAAGTTTTGAATTCAGATTCGTACAAAGCTGAGTTGTCTGTCAATAGGGTAAGCCTCGTAAAAGATGGAGCTGATGGATCAAAGCAAGCTTCATGTTGTTTGAGATGAGACCGTTGCTGTTTTTTAATTTTAGAAAAGCTGTCAAGGACTTTCTCAAATGTACTTGATTTGTTTTACCTGAATATTTCCAGAGTGGTTCTTTATTCATAAAATAAGATAATCGATTTGATTTTATTTTTTTAGTGTTCTGGACTGTAATAAACCTATATGTATTAATTTGATATAGTGAAGCTTACAAATGTTCGTAATTTAATGTACTCGTAGTTTTTCCAACTGACAGAAGTTTAATAGGAAAAGAGGGTATATGAAGAGCTTCTGAACTAGGAAGACTTTGAAAGAAATTGACTTTACCATAACCGAGAATAGGAATTGAAGTACCATCAGCAATAGAGATAAATTTTGAATTAACATGTGATGTGAAATCCAATAATTAGTCTGGATTATTGGTCATATGATCTATAGCACTAGAATCAATGACCCAAGTATGGTGATTCGAAGCTGAAGAGAGGAAAGCACAGACATCAACTGCAACTTGAGTAGAGGAAGCAGAGTAACAGGAATCAAGATTTGAGGAAATAGGTTCAGAAGGTGAAGTTTCTGATTTCTTCATTTGTTGGAGAAGCCGAGTGAGTTGTCCAATTGAAGTAGAGGTACCTGCAGTCACAATATTGGCTTTATCAAGTTGAGACTTCAAATGGGGATGAAGAATCGAGCATGTATCTCATGGTTCAGTTTATTACAATAACTACATCAAACAGATTGTCATTGACCTTTAGAAAAACCCTGACCTCTACCAATAACATATTTTATGTCACCACGTTTCTTGTCTATCACAAACGCATGTATGTACGCCTAGTGAAAATATGGCTTAGAATCAGGGACAAACTTAGATTCAGCAACAATTTTTTCTAGTTTCTTCATTCTGAATATTAGAAGAAACTGTAGTAAAAGAAGGCAAATCAATACTCATTAGGATTAGACTTCAAAGACTCGTACTCAGGTTTCAAACCAGTAATTAGCTGGAATATCTTGTATCTTCTGCACATTTCAAGAGAATTTTAGGACGATATAAGGCTAGTTCATCCCACATACCTTTCATTCGTCCAAGATGCTTACTAAGGGTTTATGACCTTCAATGACTTTGGCAATATCTAGTTTCAATTAAAAAGTCCGTGCAACATTGTTTTTGGTTACCATATATGCATACTGAATCCCGCACTAGATGAAAGTCGGTCAGAGCTCTGCAATTGAATGGACTATCTAGGAACTGAGAACTTGCAACACAGAACACCTTCAAAGCTGCTCGGCCGGGGTTGGCCGAAAAACCCCTCTGGCGTGGGAATGAGTGATTGGAGAAGATAAAAGGGCTCTCTCTAGATGTAGAGAGAGGAAAAAAAAAAAGAGTGTATTCAGTTGTGTTTAAGTGAGTAGAGTTGTCATGAGATGAGTTCCATACTTTCAATGTGAAGAGAGTGAGGCTTATATAGAAGACTTTGCTTGTTGCCCAAGATAGTTTCATGGAGTTTTGGTGCTTTAAGGCTTCCTTAGCATTGCTCAAGGTAGGGGACCACCAGGTAGTTGATGATGGATCCATGTGCTTATTATAACCATGCATATAACAGATCACATTCCCTTAGTTAATTGTTTTCGTGATTCTAGGAGGAGGGGACCAACTAAGGTGACAACCTTCATATTCATGCATTCATAGCTTCCACGTTGTTCCCTCAGCTCGATACTGTTGTGCCTCGGCTCGGCCTTTTGTAAGACTATTTGTAGAGATAGGCTGGCCCATTTGGATATCTTTTTGTGGGCTTGGCCCACTTTCGTTCAGATGATGGGTTCAACCCATCAATTCAGTCCATGGATTAAGTCTAGCAGCTCGGCCCAACCCAACATCACGGCTTGGATTGGCCTTTCTACTACGAGTTGGGCCCAAGTGCTTAAGGACATGGGAAGACTGCTCTTTATAGAGATGGGCTTAATTGGCTGGCCTACACATTCATTTGACCCACTTGGATTTGGGCTTAGTGGATTGGATCGGCCCAAGGCTTGGATCCGACCCGTTTATATTTTGCTCATTCATTTGCCCTCTAGCTCGCGTTAAGGTTCCCCTTGGGAGGAGCTACTGTTCAATGTCCCAACCGTTGCGTCACTTCGGTTCTGCTCCATCTTAGCCTTGGTGGTGGTTCAATCCTGACACACGTGCTTTGCATGCGTCCTTTCATGGTGACATGTGGCAACATGGTATTGGTGTGCAGAGATAATGCGCTGATTCCATACAGAGGGACGTGATTTTGTACCATTGCGCCGGTCGAGTGTCATAAATACCCTAAGGTTGTCTTTTCAAACCCTTCGACTGCTCCAGGTTTTGAAATCCCCAAAACCCCTTTCATTCTTTCTTCCTAGTTTTGAAGGTGCCTCATTTCGACGCTCATCGTCGTTACCGTTGGTTCTAGATGCTGCCGTCCTCCTTTAATTCCAGTTTTCAAGACCTTCGTTCTTTGTCGTCCTCTCGTCAAATCACTGTAAGTTCATTTGAAACCCTTCTTTTCTCTTACTTTTCTATTTATCGCATTGCTGGCCCTTGTGCCACTGTTTCTGGCGACTGGTGCTATTTCTCCGTCTTTCACTTAGTTCGATTCCGTCTTTGCCCTTCTAGGTCTAGATCATGGGCAATTTTCATGCATTGGTTGCTACTCTTGAAGCGATGGCCATGTTCCGTTGGGACTATGGTATTTTAGATGACGTTACCCTTGCGTTGGCTAAAGTTGATGCCAAGTGCATGGGTACGAGGAATACTGCTGCATTCCCCGTTGTTGGTAAGGGGCGGTTTAGTTCCCTTTGGACCTACTGGTCCGTCGTTTCCTGTACCAAGTTTAGCTTACCCTAATGCAAGTTTCTGTGAATCCGTTCCGTGTTGTTTGTAGCATTTCTGCTTTGAAAAGGTGATTAGGCCTGAACTTGGATATCTGGCACATCCTTGGTTGTTATACCCTTTTTCATAACAAAGACCATAGTACCTATTACCTTCGCGTCCATTTCGTTGACTCTCACCTGGTCACTGGCCTACCTGATTCTGATAAGAACAATGATGACTTCCTCCAAGTTGGCGGCCCTTCCGGGATTGAGATCCAATCCGAGAGGATGCCCCATAAAGATGGCTACCTAGGTTTGAATCCTCTGTCTTGGTATTTCTATACTTCTACTTTTGATTTACTGTTCTGTTTGAATGTCGTGCTAGTATTGTTCCCTATTTCTGGAGAATCTTCTCGTTATCAGAGGAGGCCGACCCGTGAAAACACTAAAGCAATCAAGGCCATACTGAGGTACAAAAAGAGATCTGCCCCTGAGTTGTTGGAGTACTAAGCTACCCACCAAACTACCATCCCTAAAAGGGCAAGACTTGCTGCATTCTTGCTTGATTCTGATACTGAAACAGACACTCCCTGCCCCTTTGATCACCAACCGTCGTCACGGCGATAGCCTGTCTACTGAGAGGACCTCTTCTCCTATCCCTAGTTTCATAGGAGGCGGATCAATGTCAAAGAGAATGGTGCTTGTAGATTTGGAGGCTGAGGCCTTTGGTTCTTCTTTAGCATTGGAAACTCCCACGATGAGAGTCGAACCAAAGAGTCTGATGGATATGATGTTGGAAATGGGGGCTGTCAGCCCTTCTGTTGCTGTTCTTGAACTTGACACCTTGATTGTTGAAAGGGAAAAGAAAGAGAGACTGGTAAAGCTAAGGTCAGTGAGGCTTTTGAGGAGCCCGTTGTAGATGAATCCTGTGAATGTTAGGAACTGCCCATGTTGCATCAGGCTAGACCCATTTCTACTTCTGATTCTGTTGTTGCATCTAAAGATCTCGCTTTTGACCAGTGGACATGGCGGATCACAATGGACCTTGTGATATTCCAATCTTGGAGGGAACTCTTCAAATGATGACTGATGTGAGTACCTCTGTATTTTCTTTTTTGTTCCTTCTTGTCAGTATTGTTTCCTTTCTCTTAATACCTTTTATTGCTGCAATGCATTCAAAGGATGCATTTGTCCATTACCCGTGCTGAGGCATTGAAGAAGGCCGTGCTAGAGGCTGCTATGAGTGTTGAAAGGTTGACAACGAGTCTTGAGGAGGAGGGTCGTAGAACTGCGGAGAGAGAGGTCTTTCGTTTGAATAAGGTTATTACCTCTGCTGAGAAATCCAAAGAAGCCGCTGTTGGGGCCCAGGCCCAGCTTGAGGGAAAAGTGGTTGAATTGGAGGCAGTTATAGCAGTGATGGCAGCTGAGCGCTCAACTCTGGTAGCCAAGTACTGGCAGTAGGGTTAGGATGAGGTTGGAGCTGCCTATAAGGAAGATGTGTTGGTACTATGCGACAAGCTTTTCCTTAAAGGCTAGACAAGTGCCCTAACTGCGGAGGGGTCTCCTTTGTTCCAGGAAATCCCCATTCCCTCCAAATCCTTGAGCCTGAAAACTGCTTCCACACCTACTACTCCCCTATCAAAGATCTCTCCAAGTACTAGTATTACAAACAAGATTCTAGAGACTGAAGTTGCCAACAAGACAGTGCATGCTGAAGAATGTGGGAACCCAAAGATTGAAGATGCAGAGGAGGTGGTCAAGGAGGTTCCTATTTCCCAAGATATTGGAGCTACTTTTGCTTTTCCTCCCAGAGATGATTTGGACAAGACTGTGAACCCTACTTCTGAGATTCCCCCTTGCAATGAAAGTTGAAGTGATCTTTGAAACAACTTGAAGTTTTTTACATTTTTGTTTTTTTCTTCCTTTTGCTTTCTACTGTATTGGAGCTCGGTCCTCCTAACAAGTTGCCACTTTCATGATTGTCAAGACAATTTTCTTATTTTTGTTACTGTTTGTGAGGCTAGCTGTGCCTTTGTTGGATGATGATATTTTTTCTTTGATTTTGTAATCTGATGCTTTCTTATTTTTATGAATGAATGTTATCTGTACTGTTTGCCCCCGGTCGAGCACTATTGGGACCTCCGGGCCAAATAGTTACTCTGTCTGGTTATGCAATATGCTGCATGGTTGTGCTTGTATTGTAATCGAAGGAGAGTGACTTAACTAGGTCTAGGTAGGTTCTAAAAAAATAATTGTTTGCCCCCACCAGGAGCTAAGTAAGATTGGTACTGAAGATCCTGCTTTCTGGCAGAACCACTTAAGTCTGTTCCAATTCTGTTTGTATGTAGCCGTACTGAAGTGTTGATGTACTTGTACTTAAGAAAGAGAGCTGTGACT